TTATACTTCTTAATTCTTTATTGTATTCTTTCCTGACTTTTCCAATGTAGCTGCATTTTCTCTAACTGAAGGGAATATACTTTCAATTTTAATTTTAAGATAACTTGCTAGTTCGGCTGTTACTACACTGAAGATTCTTGAAATTTCTCACTTCCTTTTGATAAGGATTAGGGTACACTATAAAGGACAAACATGCTATACGGTGCTGCCATTCTTTAATTCCATGCAGTTGTTGTAGAGGAACTTAAACGGCTTTGAAAGAGGTAAAAATAAAGCATCTTGTAAATTTATCAAGATTTCACTGAAGCATCATGTGTTTTTCCGTCTATTCTCAAATGTGAATAGGAAAAAGATTTATTAGTCTTATTAAGTCTCTGAATTGCTAATAAATAGGAAAATTTGTATTATTACATGTTGATAGTCTCTGCAATGAAAATTGTAACATCTCCGTATTTCACGTGGTGGCAAGCCTCAGACATTAAAAATTCTTTCAGTAAGAAAATGCTGTGGGTTTTGTTTTGTTTTGTTTTTTAAATACCTAGGAGCAGTCTTACCTGTCAGATTTCTAGCGTGTAAATGCTGTGGAAAATGACCTTGTTATGGATATAGTGCTTAGTGTTAATCTGGAGATACGCTGATAAGAATCTAAAGCATAGTCAGATGGCCTTGTAGCTCAGGTTTTAATCATATTAGCAACTGTTGTAGTTACTCATCCAGAGATCCCAAGGCACTTAGGCAATTTATACATAATTGGTTACTTTGGTCACCATTGTTCGATGAGTCTGTTCAATGCCATTTTCTGCTAGATGGAACTGAAGCACTTCTGTGCTAATGACAGTGCTACTTTGAACACCAGTATAATAAGAATGGGAACCCACTGATTGTAGGAAAACAAAAATGAGTACGTGGTGTGTCCTAGAATTTCCGACCAATATAGTCAATCGGGTTTCACAGATCTCAAGACTGATCTTTCCTTAATAGTAACAATTAATAAAGGATAAGGAAGACTGGGCCAGTGGGAGTGTACGTGGCTCTTTATGGAGCATCAGAAATAATTCTAAATATATGTTGTGGCCAAGAGAACCTTTGTTTGCAATAAGGACCTAAAAAAACCCCAAAAGCATTCTCATTGGAGTTTAAAGTGTTACACAATTATCTGTCAGAAAAGTTCCCCCATAAGGAAAGGGATAGGACTAAATGATCCCCTTAGGGTACCTTCCAAATCTGTGGTCTCTAAAAACCAAACTGATCTCTGTTGAGTAGCAGTTACCAGTGTAGCTGCTTAACTTTTCCAGAACTCCAGGACAAAAGATAATCTACAATATCAGAACAAGGTGGCAAAGACTTTAAGAAATATGAAGTAACTATGTTTTATGCTCTTAAACACAGTTTCCAAATTGCAGTGGAGGAAATTTATTTGCAATTGGAAGCTGTTAACTTTTATGGTGTAATGATGCAGTTATTAGTTAGCCAAGTAAACCTCATCTGAGCATTATTCCTTATTGAACTCCAATAACTCGAACTTAAAGTTTCATCCTTAAAGGTTAATCTACCTTAGTTTTATAAATTAATTTGGGCAGGGACTTAGCTTCTCTTGATTGACCCAAATAAGAAAGAAGATGGAATGAGATTAAGGCCATCAGTGTAGGGGTGTGAGAAATCTGATGGCTTTAGCCGAGGAAAAACTGATTTGCAACACCAAAGAAGTGACAGCCGTGTTCCAAGGTCTTCCCCCTGTCCCCGAACAATGACCTTTCAGTGGGGACGTAACATAGCTGGTGTGTAGCTAGCGGTTAGGGAACCCCATGGTGAGAAGTCCTCATATGCTTAGTTGTTACTCAAAGCTGTCACCAGGTCGTGACAAAGAATGGTATTCCAGTTTCCATTATTACCGTTTTTTCCCACCCATAATTGTAATACTTTGAAATAGCAGGTATATAAGCCGCAAAATTTCACGGTGGGTTTTTTCTGTTTTTTATTTTTATTTTTCTGTTACTGTCAGTCAGGTGACTCCCAAGGTCTAACTAACTGGGTTGTTCTTTCTAATACATTGGCTGTTGATTTGTGCTTGTTAAAATTCTTGGTTCGCTTTGTTAAATATATTTACATCTAACATTTGGTATTAGAAAAACTTAAAAGAGAAAGTTTAGGGAATTAATCCCTTTAGTGTGTTGGGGTTTTGTTTACTTTCTTAAACTGGAGTGGGTTTGGCTTCAAGCTAGATGTGCAATCAGAAATTAGGATAAATTCTGATGAAAATTTATCTGCCAGCACAAACCTTGCTCATAAGAGGCCAAGGCATAAGTTTTCTTATTAGACATTTTGGGGTTGTTTGGACCAAGCTAATGGAGATAAAATGCATAAATACAAAAGATTTTGAGGCAGTAGTAAATCCAATAAGTGACATCATGAGCATGCCAATGACTAGGTCTGGTGTGTAATGAAGAGAACATCCTTATGCTTATGGGTTTCTTTTTTTCTCCTGGATTGCAAATTTGTCACTAGATAGAGGTTGAACTATTCATACTTGTATGTCAGAACAGTGCATTTAACTGCAGAATATGATGTACTTAACTCACTTTCAGCACCCACGTTGTCATGGTAGCATTTTGTATACGTAGGAGTTAGATGAATGCTGCAAAATATATGTTTTGAATATGTGGTATGGAATTTCTTTTCTATCAGAAAGGTAGTTTGTGAGCAGGAGAATAACAATGCTGAGGACAGCTCTTGGGCTGTGAGAAACCCAATTTTAATTCACCTGAATGCTTCAGCAATTGGACCTTTAGATGGCTTTGAATTTTAGCATTTTTAGGACTTCTGTTGGGTTCTGGGTTTGGGGGGGGATTTGTTTGTTTGTTTATTTTAAACGCTACTGAACAACAAGAATTTTCTTTATTCTGTTTGATATAGAAGAGAACTGATTTGTTGAAATCTCTTTTGCTTCAGGATTATAGTTTTCCTGGCAGCTGTAAGCCAACTGGTTTGTTTATGAAATACAGACTTATTAACTTTACGTTTTTAATTTGAAAATGTCAGGGGTTTGCATCTAATGGTTAGAGAACAGATGCCTGCCTGTCTGCCTCTCTGCCTATCTTTCTCATGGAAAAACCGACAGAAGTAGTTTTAAAGGCTTGTAACTTAGTGCCATTTTGGAATAGTTAACTTACACAGGATATACAATATCAATATGCTGAACAACTTCAATACATATATCTTTGTAATGAACCTGAAATATCAAGGCAGTGTTATGCAAAAGGTAATCAAATTGTGCATCAAGACTGTTTTTCTAACTAATGGTAATTAAAACTTTCCCCTTTGCCTGCTTCCCTATGTTCAAAACATGATTGATTGTATCAAAGTTTCTCTGAACTAAATACTTCAGCCCTGGGGTTAACAATATTTCTGGATACTTAATCTTATCCAAAGCAATGAGGGAAGCAAAACAAGGAATGCCTGTCACATTGTGAAATGGAAAATAATATTGTCCTGGAACAACTAATTTTCCATCTAGGGATGCTTCCAAACTGATCGGTTAAAGACTGCAGATAAATAGAACCAAATGATTTTATATAGGAACAAAATGTTATCCAGGTACATAATTAATTTAGTTTTTTTAACTGCAAATTTATTTCTCAACTTTTCACAGGCTAATATGTGGTAGATGCTATTAGAGCTAATATGGCAACAAGAGGTTATATTATGGAGCTTCTAAGCTGAGGCAAGAAAGAAACCCTTGGATTTACAAGTGTTGAAGAACTGCATTTCTTTGTAATGATGTAGGAAGTTCTGCCATAATAAGAAGAGATAAAACTTCAAATTATAAGTTATTCTTCCTTCCTTTCACCAGCTTTGCTTAATGAGGTTGATGCATGTAATGTAAAAAACATTTGTTGTTTCTAGATCCAGAGTTATTATCTAGCAATCCAATTCCCATACTCATGACTAGCTAGCTGGTTTGTTTTGGTATTTATCAACCCTGATTGTATTTTAATTCTACAGTCCTGGCTAATGATGCTGGACCTCAATTTATGCATTTCCAGTAAGTTTCTTGAAATTTTGGTCTTCCTCTTCATAAAAATAATAAAAATCACAGTTATAAGTTGTGTAACAACAGTCCATATTGAATCAATGTGTGTAATTATACATATACACCTATATTATTCCTTGCTCCGAACAGTTCTCTGTTGATAATTGCCTTTGGTAAGCTTCGGTTTGTTCACTTGAATATATCTGATGGTTTTGGCAGCCTGTTGTTCTTCTGTACAAATTAGGAATGCCCAGCAATAAGCTACTTTCCTTATTACAGTTACTAGAGCATCAGACAAACTGGCTGCACAAAATCGTAATAATCAAGCATTTTTATATGTGTTTCAATATGATGATCATCTCAGGCTAGAAACAATATCTCTGAACTGTATGGTGGAATAAATTTGCTGTTGGGTTTCTAATAGGCATCGAGCTAACATGAACAAATTCTTTGATTTGACTTAATATAATGGCACCTTTCACCATTAATTTATTCTTTTGGTTTGCAGTCTTTTTACATTCTTCTAATGTGAGAAGGTATTCTGTACATTATTAACATGTTATGTTGATCAATAGTGCTAAAAGTCATATTTGGAAAATTGAGTTTGTATTTACAAATTTGGAGTTGCAGTGGTTCTACCTATAGTCTTGTTACTTCCCAGTATAAGAATTTCGTGATGCACCTTCAGTTATTCCAGTTATAGATGTATTTAGATACACCCCTTCCCATAAAAAGTCATCTTAAATAATATAACACCTGTTATCTTTGACTTCCTGAGAACATCAGAAGCATTAAACAAGCAAGTGTTTAAATATGAGGTAAATCTGAAACACTGATTACTGAAATTCAGAGAACTGTGAAATTCTACTGAATCCTTACTTTCTGTGTTTATCTATGACTGCATTTTTTCCAAGGTACTTAGTGGAATTAGGCCCCTGTGTTGCAGAGGGTGGAATTTTTTTTTTTTTTTTGGGGGGGGGGAACAATGGGATGGCACAAATTACAAGGGGAAGAAAGATACATTTTCAGGGCGAGTACTATGCTGAAATTTCCTATTACCTAGCTGTGCTGTAGCTAAAAATTTTCCTTAAATAGTATGTTTTGTGGTTATAATTGGAAACAATAAATGTTGATTCATCAGCAGTGATACTTACCTGAGTTTAGACAGCTGATGTTACAAGGCCCATAATTCAAACAATGCAATGACTCATTTTGTTAATCACTCTGTGACAAAATATATTGGAATCAGTTTCTTGTTAAACAGTGTATGTTCCCTTGAGCAGTGAAAGCATGAAGCGCTGAACATGACTTTACCACTTGAATGGTAAGATTCCTTGAATGAAAAACCAAATCAAATTTCTGCCCTATTGAGAACTAAAAGTTGTCCTAAGTTATATAGCAGTTATTTGTGGGATGTAAATGAAGGATTGAGATTAGATGAGAAAGAGACTGAAACTCTAGTCACAGTGAATGCCATCAATATGTAACTTCACTGTTTTGATAGAATTTTGAATAATTGTTTCAGCATCTAGCATGCATGAACACTCAGGGTTGTTTGGGATGTATGTGTTAAGATGCAAAAATCATCCTGGGTAAATAACAAAAGCACAGGCCTTCAGTTAGGCAGTCTCTAGTTGATGCTAACCAGCAAGAAAAAGAAATCTGTTCATCTACTTGATTTTAAGTCCAAAACCAAATACAGCTGCCAATATTTAAGTTGATGTAGGTGAGGGACGATGAACACAAGTTGCATCAAGGAAAATTCCAGTAGGATGCCCAGAAAAGAAATTTTGTGGTGAGGGTCACCAATACTGGAACAGGTGCCTAGGATGTGAAATCTGCATCTTTGTGGATAGTCAGAACTTGGCTGACACGTTCCTGAGAAACCTGCTTCAAAATTGAAGTTAGCCAAGTTTTGAGCCATGGTGTAGGAGGGGGCTGGAAATCAGCCAGGTGACCTTCTGAGGTCATCTTCCCAAATGAAATGATTCTGTGATTTTTGTAGGTAGGTGCGAAAAATGCCTTAATGATATCTGGATCACCTTTTTTCAAGCTGCTGCCTTTTCTGCATTAGAGGCATAATTGAATTTATATCTTTAAAACCTTAAAAGGCTAACAGTTTTTAAAGATAGCATCCAACTACATAGAATAGTAGCTATTTTTTAATACAGATCTGCTAAAATCATTATTTGAATCAGATGAGATAAAAGATGGAGATGACTAGGTATTTTCTTTCATCTCTAAAGCAACTTTGATTCATATTTAATGGTAGACTTCTCTACAATGCTGATTTTCTTTCATGTTGATTCCTTACTCAATTATATAGTTAAATGGAGGAATTATTTTTTTTCTCTTAGAAAATAACTTTGAAAGCAGAAGCAGCATTGATTACTGTGGTCATACCTGTAACTCTGATTAACATGCAGTATTAGACATTTCCTATTTAATACAATCATATTGTAAGACCTGAAGACAAGTGCACAAGCAAATGTGAAACCCCAAAAGGGGGGATCACTGGTATAGTGAAACTACTGAGCTAGAATGCAAAATTATGGATTATGTATAAATAAAGTGATTAATCTGGTCTTCAAAACTCTGAACAACTGATAAAGCTAACAGACGATCTATGCTGATTTTCTAGTTCTGCAAATAGTTAATGAGCTCTCTGCAGGAAATAGTCTAAGCTGGAATGAAAAAGAAAATGTTGAGGCAATTTTATCATGGTAGGGTTTTTTAATAGAGACACGTTTATTCCTAGTACAACCACTAAATACATGCTTGCATGCAGTTTGGAGTGATTTTGTATGAATTTGTTGTCAAAATCTGAGTAAGCAGCAGTCTGTAACTGCTACTCAGGAGCCTCTAAAGTGGAAAAAAAGGGAGAAGTGCAAAAAAGTGCATAGTATATGGGGTAAAATCTGTCAGGCTGACTTGAGGATGAACCAAAATAAGATTACCTTTAGTCCTTTACATAGGTGGCACAATTGGTCCTTTGGTATTTGTATCTTGTGACTATCTCGGTCTGCACTTAATAAAATATTTTAGTTCTTTTTCTGTGGATCTTGTCGTAGAGCAAGTAGGGTATTGATTCAGAATGGAATACAAGCAAAGGGGATGCAAAACTTGCCTTCCTGCACTTTCAGCATGACACACCACGACACGCAGTTTTTAGTACCGTGGCTATACATCCCTATTTTTTTCTTATTTTTTGTGGGACTGAAATTTGAAAGTTTGTTTGAACTGAGCTGCCCATCCAAAGACTCCTGACTACAGTCAGTATTTATAGTGCCTATTGCTAGTAATTTTGCTGTGTAGCAAAACTGAAAGTTTTAGTAGCATTTTCAATAGCTCAGACAGTAACCAAAATAGCAATGTTGGAGTGAATGAGAATCTTTTTAGAAAATTACAAACTTGGTGAGATAATTAGGATACTTCTAGATTATGCAGACACAAACTATAGTAATTCTACTACTAAAATAATATGTATATAAGGAATCCTTTTGTGTTTCAGTCTAGTTATGTAAGAGAATTTCTTCTAAGTTGTCATTTTATACAATGACATTGTTATTTCAACTTTTAAAGAACTACTGGCAATTTAAAGGAATTTCATAGTTATCTGGCTGCTGGTCATTCAGGGAAAATTGTGGAACGGAAGGAGGAAATTACAGAATGGAATGGAAAGAAATATCAGTTGCTAAGAACTCACAAAATAGAGCATGAAGAGTTTTAGCCATCCAGTTACTGATGGAATTTTTACATACACTGTTGAAAAATAACAAACCAGAAAGCATCTGCAATGTTATTGTAAAATCATTGTTAAGTGCCTTTGTCTTGAATTATCTTAATTTCAAGATGGATATAGAAGAACAAGAAAGTGTTTCAGGAAGACCAACAAGAATGTTAATATACAGAATGGTTCCCATAATCGGAACATGTAGGTAGCATAGCATTTTCCACTCACACAAGACACAACTAATAATATAATGTTATAGAAATTGTAGATCAAGAATGGCATAGATGAGTTTTTCATTGTCTCTTGGTGAGGAAGAATTGTAGCACTGTCTAAAGGAGAGTGTAGGTGAAGGACTTTAAACAAACAGAAGATTGTTCTTGATGCAATAGGCTGTCAATGCGTGGGACTTCTTGCTGCAAGAAATGATGGCTGTTAAAGTTTACATTGTTTCAAAAAAAAGAAGTAGGAATAATTAATTATTGGGATGAAAAGCCCCAGTGAGAAGCATTAAAGAGAAATAATAAAAGCATGTCTGGCTCAGGAAGCTTGAGGGAGGCAATTGAGGCTCCTGGGTTGTGACATTGGTAAGCATTTGATGTTTAACTTCTGCAAACAGAGGATTATACTGTTCCACCAAACTCATATGCCTTATTTAACAGAATTTTATAATTATTCTTCTGGAAGACTTCTGGGGGAAAAATAAAAAGTGCTACAAATTAATTAAAATACTGAAGTAAACATTTTGCAGTGCTGCTTCCTTTGCAGTTCTGGTGGAGTTAAGGTCTTCAATTTCAAAACAGCTCTGGTAAGAAGTGTCTCCTCAGCCTTGAGTCAGATAACAGTGAGAGAAGTGTAGAAGAGAAATAGGTTATGAATTCTGTGATATCTGGGGTGTTACAGAGAGAGTCGGGCAGTGAGTACCTGACGGCTTACTTGTTTTGTCCTGTGCCTTCAACACTTCTCAAGGCTTTTCATTTAAGAAAGGAATATTGTTAAATATTCTTTCTTTTTACCCAAAGAAGCATGAAAAGATTTGCACTCAGCTTCTTTTGTACTGTTTTTCTCTCATGTTCTGCAGTGTTTCTTTTATTCTTACTTTAGGTGCCTTGGAGAAAAGGTTGGTGTGCAGATCTTCCTTCCAAACTACCAAATACTCAAAAGATGAAGGCTTCTAAATGATTTAAGAATTTCTATTTACTATTACAATTCAGTAGAACTACTTTTAAATTAAAAAGAAAGCGTATTATAATTATAGACACAGAAAACATATTAATGCAATGACGTCAGTTAAGGAATCTCAAAAATTTATCTGCATTAAATTAAGCTGAAGATACTTGCTCTCTCACTTTGAGGATGAGAACAGTGTTTTAAATGATTTGCACAGCTTCTATCCTTACCAAGTTCAACATAATGTGGAAACAAAGGTTTGGACTTGCAAAGAGATCCTCATATTTTCAGTCTCCCCTGGAGAGACTATCTGAATATGATGTTATTTGGCATGAATTTTTATTATAATAATATAAAGTTACTCCTGTAGGATAGATCATAAAGTAACTTGCTTCTTTACAGTAGGTAAATGCACAGTATGATTCATCAAAATTGCAAGTTCTTAAAAATTCCTCTCTTTCAGTTTCGAACTTTAGTGGGTGTTAGAGAAGGTGGGAGCTGTTATTCTGCACAGTATGAACCTCTTGGAAATGCAGGCAAAGTGGAACAATTTAGGGCTGGCTAGGTTAGCTGCAAACCCCTATGTAGGTGGTAATATAATCTTGCTTCTTGTACCTCCTGCTGATTTTTTTTTTTTTTTTCTTCCTTTGTTTTTTTCCTCCCTCTGCTTCCAACATACATACCAACTAAGGTGAAACAAATATCTCCTCATCGTTGAACTGAATGGAGGGCCACATCATTTTTTGGATTCAGTCTCTGAGTGTGACTTATGTTAAGTGAAAATACGCTGTAATGCTGTCACAGGTAATGTTCTATAGCTAAATAGCAAGGTATTAATGAGAAAAAGTAATTTAAATTAAGGAAGAATGGTGCTTATTCTGTAAAATATACAAGTGTTTAATCAGTAAGAAGTTGATCATTTTGAAGGGAACAGCTGAGGAAATTCAGAGCGAGTATGCAGAGAATGAGGTGAATGCCTTGTGGAAAGATGCAGAACATGATAAATTCTGTCAAAACTTTTAAGTGAAACTGTTTAAAGTTATGCTTAGTGAGAAGCGTAGTTAATAAACATCAGCTGCTGATATAGTGCTGTTACCTTATGTCTTCTAAAATGTGTGTTTGATTGTCAT